GTGTGAGCAACAGGTAAGCACATGTGTGCAAAGCTTCATTTGCATGAGAGGTGGGCATGTGTGCTGTCATTGCACAAATGGAGCTGCGCATACCCACTGCTCACGCAGAACCATCCCCTATCCTGCCCCCGCCGGTCCACAAAACTGGAAAGGTTGGGGAAAGCTGCTCTAACTCATCATCAATTGGATTTATCCCTCATCTTCCTCTACCTATGTTCTAAAAGTCTCCTTTTAGCTTCCTCAACTGTTCCATAACCTGCAAAGAGTGCTGATAATGATGGTCCAAGAGAGGTTATAATGGCATGATCCTATCTGAGGATCAAGATAAACAGCCAAGGCCTCAGCAGAACTTCAGATAAAACCCCCAATTCTCTTTGGGATCCCAATGGATCCATGCATCATGAGGGGCATACCGATCAAATAAGTCCTCCCTCCCTGCAGCGGGTGGTAACCTAAAATAATGTCAAAGTCACCAAGGTGTGATCTGATCATGATGGAAGGACAGACAGAAAAATATCTAACAACAAATAAATTATATATTTAAAAATAGAATCCCAATGGTTTGATGCTGTTTTATAACAGGATGGGGCAGAAATACCATAACAAACAAACTAAATAATGTTCTTTTTTTCAGGGGTTCTAATTCTTTTGTTCAGAAAGTATGTTATGTATATGTGGTTTAAAAATGACTTACAAGAGTGAAGAAATATTTTCTTCTCTTACATACTATTAGAACTTGGGTCACTTATTGAAACTGAAAAGGAAGCTTTGTTTATGTTATTTATTTTGATATTTACATACCATCATAGTCAAGACTTCTAGGTGGTTATTATAATATACAGTGCATAATTAATCTTTAGGCTCTGCTTCTACAAGATATGAAGATGACCAGTTATTCTGATGACTTTCAAAGAGAAGATCATAAAATTAAGATCACGTGTTACTTCTGAAAGCAGGAAGAGAATATTTCTCAGTACAAAATGATAGAAAACATGAATGGGAGAAAGCTTCCCGCTAGCATCATGTTGACAACAAAATGCTGGTCCAGCTGGCCCTTTGTTCTGATTTAGCAGGAATGTTCTTTTCAGATGTTCAGCATGGCCTGCCCTCTGCTGCTTCAATGCATTCATAGACTTTTTTTAAAACTTGCAGCCCCAGGATAGGAAGATATCTTCTTGAAAATGTCATATTCTGCTGGCATGTGCTACCCTGCAAGGAAATCGTTTATCTCTCTTAAGAATGGTATGAGGCTTCCAAAAGGGCTAGGAAAGATTCCTTTATAAACCTCAGAACATCTGTCAATGTTGACAACAATATTGAGTTGGGTAAATCTACAAACAACCAGTGTAGATGGATTGTATTTCTGCAGGATTTGTTTATTCATTTATGCTGGGTTTTTAAAAGCAGTAACACAACAACATAAATATATATTTTAACCTAATATTTTCCCTTTGATTCTAGTTAACACAAAATAGCAATAGCACATAGACTTATATACAGCTTCACAAATGCTTTACAGGCCTCTCTAAGTGGTTTACAGAGTCAGCATATTGCTGGGTCCTCATTTTACAAATCTCAGAAAGATGGAAGGCTGAATCAACCAAGATGAGAAAGAAAAACAATTCTTATGTTTGAAAAATTGCAAAGCTGTTTTAGAATAATGATAACATCATCCAACATTAGCTTTTCTAAATAGCATTTAGCAATAGCAGACTTATATACCACTTCACAGGGCTTAACAGCCCTCTATAAGCAGTTTACAGTGTCAGCGTATTTGCCTCCCAAAATCTGGGTCCTCATTTTACCAACCTTGGAAGGATGGAAGGCTGAATCAACTTTGAGCTGGTTAAGACTCAAACTGCCGAACTGCTGGCAGTTGGCAGTCAGCAGAATTAGCCTGCAATACGGCATTCTAACCACTACACACCAGGGCCCAGTTGTAGTTTTTCTAAAGTGCTTAGGTAGACTATGTGAATCAATGTTGACTCCTGATGACCATCTGAAATAGTCTCTAAGGTTATTCACCTGGGTTGGGGTTCTGGTTTATAACCCGGTACCTTAGCAGCTCCACTAAACTAGCTTTCTCAGGCAGGCTACATATTTATTTTAAGTTTTCTGTTTTCATAAATTTCTACAATTCTTAAAGCAATTATTTTCAGATAAAGCTGTTGCCAGACTAAATAGGTCCTAAAATTTCACAATTTCACTCAAAATCAAAAACAACTCTTCATAGCTGCTGCCAAGAACAATTGCTTTTGCCCCATTATTAATCCACAAAAACATTGGATTAATTAACTTTTCCTGTGGAAATTGATTGCAATAGCTTGTAGGAAAAGATGGAATCAATCACTGCTTTTTCCATCTTGAATCCCTAGTATGTCCCATAAATCTCAAAAAGGATTACTCTCTGATTTTGAAGGGTAGTTTAGCATAATCTAAACTCTGCAATGTTAATCTAATTTCTGTGGAATACCAGTGTTCCCTGATCCCTCTAAAAGTATCTCAAGATCGAAGAAAGTGTAGTTGATAATTTAGAGCTATTCAAATTTACTAGCCATACATCTACAGTATACTAGCCATTCATCTACAGTATACAGTATACTCTTTGAATGAAAAAGAGATATTACAGATATTTGTTCAAATGATAGCACTAAAACAATTAAAAATAATTCCTAGACAACTTTTGGATGAAAGTTTGCACAGGCTATAAGCTCATAAGTGAAAAATACTTAGAGGTGAAATTGATTTTTCATCATGCATTAGAGCCAAGACTATCTTATTAATTAGATATTGTCATTGGAATCAGAAAGTAAAACCCTTGTATATCAAAGATCTATCCATTCAGGTTTTTACAAGATATGTGAAATACTAATTTCCTCCATAAAAATTATAGTCCAGCAATCCAGAAGTGACATTTTTGATTTCTTCTGAACTGCAAGGTCAGGTCTTCTGAACCATACAAGTAAGGTAATGACAGTAATGGTGGGGAGTATCTACCCAGTGAGAAAACTAATGGCAAGATGTTATGCTGTGCCCCAAATAAGTCTTTCCTTAAATAGGAAAGTGTGACATGTCAGATATTTAGCCAGCACACCAGGTCCCCTCAGGGATGTCTCAGATGCAGGGGTGGTTAGAACTTTTATAATAATTTCACAGACAGGTGAGTTTTGACCAAAGTAGTTAGTCAATGTTGAGATAAATGTTTAGATAAGGTAAGCTTCATGGAAGCCATTTCTAATTGAGGACAAAGGACAAACATCTCATCATGCTCTCCATTTGCCACTTCAGAATTAATACCTCAAATGCCATCAAACTGATGTTTTCTCTAACCCCTCCCTCCCATTATTGTTTCATCAGTCTTCTCACCAGCACTGTGGCATATATTGGTCTAATGTGGCTTTGTTGTGAGTAAAATTGACAATTATGCACAGTGTTAATCTGGTAATTAAATTTGACAGGATAGCTCTTGGCAGCCCACCATAACAGCTAAGTGCTTTCTTGCCTTTGAAGGAATAATCTTCAATGTGCAAATTCCCTTGCTTTTGGAAGGTATTAGTTGTCTACCTTTTGAACAGAAGCTAGGACAAAACATTTTAGACAAGTCCCACATTGCTCCTACTAATAACCCAAGTAAGCACATTCTTTTTGTTCACACAGTCATTTCAGTGAGCATTAAAGATCTACTGTTCTTTTTGATTAACCTCTGAACCAGTGCTGTGCTAATGCCACTTTTGGCATTTTCGCCCTACCATTCTTCTTCATTGGTTAGCTAATGGTTTTCTTAAAAAAAAATAATTGAAAAATCTCAGAGAAAGGATTGTTCTTAATCAACAGGGTTATGTTGGTATCTTGTCTTCAATTTAAATACATTATATATACATTCTGTGAAATTTGAAGTCCAGCAGGTCTGGACAGGAACAGGTTGGAAAAAGACTGGACTATGTGACCTGGCTGCTAACTATAATTTGCTTCCCTCTAGTCTCATCTCCTCTTGCACTTGACAGACTGCATCTCCACCCGTACACTATAACCCCCACCTTCCATTCTGTTCCAGAACTATTGCTTTCTCCTTTTAAGCTTTCTTTTCTATAATATGCCAGTTCAATTCTCCATACCAGATCAGCTATGTGTACCATTTCCATATTTGGCAGTTAAGCAGCAGGTGAAAGTGCCAAGTATAGAATCATTGCTGTAAAGATGGCTGCACCTGATATCCTAGTCATTGATGAGCTATTATCTCAGACTGGTGTATTTATCTCAGGCAAGATGTACTTCAGCTTGGATAATAATCAATAGCTGCGCTGTTTGTTTCAAGAGACAAATAGCTCAGCTGTTTCTCCATTGTCTCAATTTTTGGTCTGAAACTGATTCAGAAATGCAGCTGAAAATGTAATTGTTAATATGACAGGAGAAATACATCATTAAATAAATGGAAAATAATCATATTTACTATATTTATGTAATCTAAATGGATAGATTGGGGAAGCTGCACCATTAGCTGGCATGTAATAATATAGTGATGAATGTATATTTTGGGAGTGTATCATGCATGCATACCTTTTGGGTGATTAATACATTCAGGTGGTGGTAATGATGATCTATCTTTTTAAAACTACTGTAGTTTAATGGGATAGCATGTGGCTAGCATGATTAGTAGGTTGAACTGATGTTTCTAGCCATTAAAAAAGGGTTTCCTGGCCATAGCTGCTTTCTGAGATGGTTTTTTTCTAATTTTTTTTATTTATTTTATTTTTAACAAAACAAAACAAAGCAAAACATAACACATATACACACACATATACTCCTCTCCCTTTTTTTTTAACAGTGATTACGTGACGGTAATCTTCTATTATTTACATTTCCCCCCTTATTTTTCTTTAAAATATTTGTCCTTATTACCCCGTTTCTTATTTACATTTTTCTTTCTTCATATTCTACTTCTTACTAAGAATAATTCATATTATTATTATTATACATATATTTTCACTTTGACCTTTCCATATTTATTCTCCTCTATTATTTCTAGTCTCTAGCCAGTCATGCCATACTATGTTATATAGTACTCTGTGTCTTCCTTTTCTTTTATTCTGAGATGTTTTATCAGTCTTTAGTTTGGTAGATTGTAAAATGTTTCCTGGTATTTTTCCAGCCAACTCGATAGGCCCAACACTGCTTACCTTCCAAGCCCAAATAAGGTCATCCACTGGTATATTTGGAGGATATTAAGGGAAGGCTGGAACATGAGATTTCACCATTATAATTATCTTATTAACCTTCCATTTATCTAACAGGGTATATAAACTTAGAAAACTTAGAAAATTTCTTATTGAGAAATGAACGAGAAAACACAGCAAACTATTTATGCTTTGAACGGAATCAGAAACATGAGCTTAACTAACTGTGGGTTACTTAGTGCTCTCCAGGTACTGTTGAAATTCCAACTTTCCAGCCAGAATGGACACCAGTGAAAGATTTTGAGGACCATAAGCAAGCACCATCTGGAATGTCACCAGATGGAGAGTATGTTTCTATTTGTCTAGTGAACTGTACCGCAGCCTTCCGTCTCCCCTCCTCCTGTAATTATTACACTCTGAGATTGGTTTAGTAAGGATATGTTTGGCCACAAGATGGCGCTCACTCGCAAACCACGACGCCAGTTTCACCAGCGTTCAGAAACCACTCCCGAGAGGGCATCCTTTCCCCTCTTCCTCTCCTGCCGTACTTCCAATACTTGAGGACATTTATTCCAACCCGATTAGACGACCGACTTCTAATGGGGAGTCTTCAGGTGATTTGCCTGCGCGGGGCTCTTCACCTTCCTCACCGTCCTTTATCTGACAGCCGTATAAGCAGGTGGAGTTCATCTTTAAGGGGGGGGGGAGGACGCCTCTCGTTCTCCTCACTAAGCTTCAGGATCGGCAGCAGGCGAGAGCCAGCCGGTCTGTCCTGATCTGCCTTCGACAGGTCAGCCGCCTGTTGGTTCCAGCCTCCCGGAGGCTTTGAAACAACCGGAGCGGGGAAGAAAAAAGTCGGGTAAGGCTCCTGTTTATGACTGTTCCAAGCCTTTCTCCTTTTCTTTCCGTCCTGAAATTGCAGCACTAGGACATCATTCCGTTCCGTTCTTCCGATGCCAGCTGGAGAGAATTAAGTGAGTTCCCTAAAACTTGACGCGAGTTATTCCATGCTGCGTGCATTCCGTTGGGGTGATTAAGATATCGAGGTGGTGGTAAGGATGAGCTGTATTGCCTGGAGTTTTCCAACCCGTTTTAGCCAGCCGCTGCCGCTCACAGCTTTTGAACACTTTTCCAACCTCCAAACTTCGGGGGCAGATCTTTGGGTAAAAGAAAGTGCTAAGGGGAGACGAGATCTGGAAGAGATAAAGGGCGGGGGGGGGAGGTTAATAGCTCCTGCCAATTTATCTCTTTCCCTTCCAAGCCCCCCCCCCCACCTCCGCCCAGGTTGAAGGCAAGCGGTTCACTCCAAGCCGGCGAGGCGTTGCCAAGGGTTAGGGTCTCTGGTGTTGAGGAAAGAAGCAGCTTGAGCGAGAGATGGACCTCTGCTCAGCTTCGTCCGCCTGCTTGGAAGACTGTAAACCACGGAAATAATACCGCGGGAGATGGAAACTGTTTATCGCTGAGTATCCTGCATATTTTTGGTCACTGGAAGAACGGGAACAGCAGTTGGCCTTTTTTACTGCTTTAAACATTAACCACAGAATGAACCAAAATACAGAACATGTGGACGATTCCTCTGAATTAGAAACAACGGGAGAGGAGGTTAGAGTGTCATCCTTTTCTTTCTCTAAGAAAGAAAGCTTTTCTTTCTCTAACAAAGAAAGGGTCAGAGTAGCCAGGTTTCTTCAGACAGGCTATCATGGGCAGGAGGAACAAAAACCCAAGGCTGACTTCCACTTTTGGTCAATGGAGAAACGCATTGTCTAACTTAGTTCCTGAAGCTGAGGAGCATCCCTCAGTTGCTTTAAATCCAATTTCCATCATGGGCCAGAGACTGTGGGAATGAAAACAGAAAACATCTGGATGGCTCCTGATTTTTTTTAATCCCTGGTCTCAGGATGCAGTTGTCTTACCGGGATTAAAAAAAAAAAAAATCAGGAGCCATCCAGATGTTTTCTGTTTTCATTCCCACAGTCTCTGGCCCATGATGGAAATTGGATTTAAAGCAACTGGGGGATGCTTCAGAAACTAAGTTAGACAATGCGTTTCTCCATTGACCAAAAGTGGAACTTAGCGTCCTGCCCATGATAGTCTATCTGAAGAAACCTGGTTACTCTGACTCTTTCTTTGTTAAAGGAAAGGATAACACTCTAACTTCTCCTACTGATCCTTAATCCTGGGCAATCGTCCACATGTTCTGTAATTTGGTGGTTAATGTTTAAAACAAGATAACAGATCAAGACCTCAGTTTTCTATATTGAGCTGAAGGAGGCAGATGGGCAGAGAGGTGGAGTGGGGATAAGTCTCTCTAAAGTTGCTGAGTGAACTATGGCACCAAAGACGTCTCCAGAAGAGAAAGTATAGGAAGGAAGATAATTAAAATGTGCCTGTAACAGCTTCAAAAGACAAGAGAAGAAGAAAACAGTGGAAAAAGACATAAAAGAAATATGAAGTATCATAACAAATGATGGAAACGGCTTTTTTTCTCATAGAATGCTCAGAACGGAGTTCTGGCACCTTTTTTGGATGGAACCTTGTAGGGTAGGCAAGGCGGGTTGTATGAGATGTGTGAGTTCTGCCACTTTTTTTTTTTTTTTTTAGAAAAAAAGCACTGGATGGAAATCTAAATGAATTTCGTTGATTTAGAAAAGTGAAGCAATAGTATTCTGTCAGAGACCACTAAAAAGCCCAGACTGTAGGCTAGACTGAATAATCACAAAAGCATATTGGGAGAACAAAATGGCTTTTTTAAAAATAGAAACTGGATAGTCACTTGTCTGAGATGGTATAGGTTTTCCTGCTTGAACGGGGGAGGGGGGGAGAGACTGGACTAGAAGACCTCCAAGGTCCCTTCCAGCTTCTATTCTATTTTCTATTCTATTCTCTATTCTGTAATCTCTATTCTCTTCTCTTTTGATGCCAAGTAGTATCTAGCTATAGATCCATGATGTCACTAGTCAGTCAGTTTCTACTGTTAGCCTTCAGCCACAATACACACAACTGGTGCTCCCAAAGAATGTTGGACTTCAAATTCTGGGGTTTCTGGGAATTAAAATCTAATATATTTGGAGCATGATAGCTTTGCAACTCTCAGTTTCCATGGTGCCTTTAATTTATGTGCCTGTTTATTCCTACACATTTATCCATGCATTTATGAACTTGAGGACAATATACTAAGAGGTAAACACTTGTCCCAGAGCACTTTGTAGATGTAGTAGTTTAAAAAATGAGTGTGCGGGAGTTTGAAGTTTATCTTTCCAAACACCCTAATCCTATATCCTATGCACCCTATGTTTTTGTTTGCTTGGTCCCATAAAAATGCATTCTGAGTTATAGCTTTACATCTTTCTGTTGACACTTTTATTAGCAATACGTTATTTGATTAAAATAATACTGAAGAAGATAGTATGAGTCTGTCCTAACAATTCTAGTATTAATATTACCAGTTCTAATAATACTAAAGTTATTTATGTGCCATCCATCTTGTCTAGAGGTGACATTCCAATGAATTAGACTGCATTTAATTATTGACTGTAATGCTCAGTGTAGTTAAATTGTGTGGTTTAATATACAGCAGTTTTACTTAGAAATAAGTTGCACTGATTAGTTCCTACCAGACTATAAACTTTATTACACCAAACCACAAATATATAAAATTGTAGCCAAACTTTCAAGCATTCCACATCTCTTTGGGAAATGTTACAAAAGTGAGGAAGGCAGGGGATTTTTCAAGGAAAAAGAGAGATTTCCATGATACTAATCACTCTGCAGGCGCAGAAATTTAAAACAATCGTTGGAACCAAATGAAGAGAAGATGCAAAATTGGATGGACCAAGTTGCATGAGGCACATATTCTTCTGGATGGCAATGGGGTCAGGAATTATTCCTCAGCCTCACAAACAGTATCTTCCCCAGAAGTATAGTTCAGTTTTTAAATAATTGACTGATACTTTATATTTTATTTTCTTGAATCACTTAAAATGAACCCCAAGAGTTACTTTATTGTTTAATATTTATCCACTGTAGTTCTTTACTGTGTCTCTGATTTAGACAAATATACACACTAGAACAAAAATACTTTGGAACAAGAGAGAATGAGAAAAAAGTGGTGTTGAAGGGTATTTTCTCTTGGGCCTCTCTTAAAGAAACCAGGTGTCCTTAAATTGCTTAGAAATTATAATCAGGGACATCTGAAGGTCATCCTTTGTGCAAATTTCAGGTTATGCTAGGACTAGATTCAAGTAATGGTTGAGTCACCTTATATTACTGAAAACAAATTGTTACTCATTAGCAAAACGGAGGTCAGAAATTATTCCCAGGTAAGCATGCACATAATTGCAGATTTAAGCCCTTTCCCCAGTATTTTGTTTGAATTGGGGTTTTTTTTTGGATTGAGCTACGAATCACTTCTTTTCACCTTCTTTCCAGGAACCTTTAATTAATTGGACTAATTGATAAGTTAGTCAATGATTGTGATCTTCCTGGGCTGCAGTAGATTCAGAAACTCAGCCACACCTGGTTGGAAATGAGCATCTAGTTATTAGCAGTGATTATTAGGCTGCCTTAGGAGAAAAAGAAAAAAAAAAACCATTCCTATGTGTGTTTGATTTGTAGTTGAAATGACTGTTAGAGCTATCTATCCAAATTAGGCCCAGTGGCATTTTAGGAAAGGTTTACTAAATGAAAAGGAGGTAGGTTACAGTATAAGCACCGCTAATCAATGGCTGTATGTTTCTTGAGCAGATCTATGCACTGTGATATCAAGAACAACCTTTTGGAACTTCCACTGAATTCAGCATAAGGCAGCAATACCAAGTAGAATCCTAAAATGGCTTTAGATGAGTGTCTTTGTCTCGGTGATTATATTGGGATAACCTGGTAGGAATAGATTGCCTGTCCTTCAGATATAAGAATATTAACCTATTTCTTCAATGACTTTGATTCCATTGATTGATCAGTTTAGTTTATGTTCCTATATGTACACCTGCATAAAAAAGTAGGTTAAAAGAATGTGTTAAGGTTTGTTTGCTTTTAGAGCAAGTGAGCATGTAAAGTATTCCAATAAATAGTGTCGCTTTCCCATTAGGAAGAGAATGGTTTTTATAATAAACAGCTTTTCACCTACAATTTAAATACTGGTATATGTTTCAAACAATGATTAACAAAGGAAAACTTATTAGCTGACTGAAAGAGTTTCTTGAGAAATATAATCAAATTAACCCTTAAGACTGCAGCATTACTTTCAGATAAAATATGTGAGTGTTGTGTAGTGCATTTTTCCAAAAAAAACGGAGAACGCTTTGCCCTGATACTGATGATGACAATTCCAATAGACCAAACCAGACTTGCTGATGAAGCAGGATGCTGAATATCATCTTTCAGCAATGTTTGGAGTGTCACAATGTGCTGTTTATCTAAAATCAGGGACAGAAAGTATTGCCATCATTCTTGCAGATATCTTGGCACTTCAAAGATGAATTCAAAAGCTGGAATAATTACAAAGTAAAACCATTCATATTAAAATGCTTAAGTCAATTGGAAGCCAATAACCTACTACATTATATAAATGAATACCTTTTCAGAATAAATCACCCCTAAAACAATTTCACTTTCAAATAATATACAATAACTTTAGAAGAGCAGCAAGAATCCAGACTTACTACATCAAAGGCAATTCAGATAAGTGCTGACTTTTTTGATTCTTGGGGTTTGTTGTTTTGTATCATCTTTGTAAAATATAAACACAAAGTACCAATGAAGGAGAATATTTGTAGCTGAGGGTTGAAATGAGGGGTCCTTGGTACTCTCTGAGCTTACTTGTTTTCTTGCAGATGTTTCATTGGCCTAACTAGATAACAT